TAATAAAACAAATATTCATTCTATGTTCGGGCAATACCTGTTGCACTTTCAATGATTTTTGCAGCATGTATTTCCCTCGCCCTTCGGGCCGCGGGCAATATATGCTGCAAAAATCATTGAAAGATGAACAGGTATTGCCCGAACATAGAATGGAATATTTGTTTATTATTTAAGCCCTCCCAATGAATATACTCCTTGTTGTAAAATAAAGGTAATTGTGCTTTTACAATTAGCGCCTGTTTCGAGATTCGCTTTTACACAATTAGCGCCTGTTTCGAGATTCGCTTGCAAAATGAAACCCCGATTCAATCCATTCCTAGCAGAACACCAACCACCAAACCCCCCTGAAAAGGACACATCACAAAATGAAAGGAAACCAAAATATTATTTTCAAAATGCCAAAACAGTCATGTCTTCTTGTATTTTATAGCTATATCAATAGAATACATGTTACAGGGGCGTAGCCAGCTTTCAGTGGGGGGGGGGGGGTGCGAAAGGGGGCCAAGCCAAAAAATTAAGATTTATCTTGAATTTTACAAAAATTGATGAAACTTCTTTATTGGTTATTGGGGGGGGGGGTGCGATCATTCACCCCCCTGGCTACGCCTATGTGTTAAAACAAACTTTACACAATATCAACTATATTTAAAATTGTATCTTGTAAGTGGCTTATTAAACATCAGTTCAATAATGATCAATCACTTGTTCCTTTTTAATCCTACGTCAAACATTCTGGTATGCCAGAACCCCCCTTATCTGCCATTTGCTTAAAAGGATAAAGACAAAGGGGGCTTGGCTATATCGCGATATACGTCAAATCTTTATGACATTTCCCTTCACCAGGGCCTACACCAATATTCTTAACACCACTTATTAAAGGATACATGCATCAAGGGGCAGACATCATTCAAAAGACATAAACATGACTGAAAGCTGGCTACAGCCCTGGGGTTTTATCAAAAACTATATCATCAACATTTTATCATTGTGCAGAAAGTCCAATATGAAATCTAAAATGGTAAATATGTTGCGTTTATTGAAGGAGTTCCACAGTAAACTATAATGTGAATGTTTGATATGAACACTTTGGTTCCACCTCAGCTGGAGATTAAATTTTAATAATTTGATCAAAGAATGATCAAAGGGATTGTAATTTTCCCCAATTCTCTTATCTATGTTACAATGTGTATAATCGTTATATTGTGTCCAGTATGTGTTGATAAACCAAAGATATGTTTTTTTGGATATCAACATTCAGAAAAAAGTAATATACCATTCGAGATACATTGTATATTTGTTACATCCTTCATAGCAGGGTTAGAAAACTCAAACGGATACCAGTTTTGCATGATTATATGATAATGTTAACATAGGAAGCATGGCTTAAAACAATTGGTTGATCTGGAAGAGGGGGGATGACAAGGTGACACCCGGGAGAGGACATTATCAAGGTGATTCATATAGGGGCGGATAAATAAATTTCAAATAATTTTGAAACATTTTGGAATGAGTTATTATATAAAGCATACATGTATGTATCATTTATAAACACAAGAATTTAATCGAATGGGTAAAGTATTTATTATCCATCACTTCGATTTCATATATTTTTGAGAATGCAATTGTTCAAAAATGTAAAAATGCAATTTTCTGAAATTGTCTGGATTTCTTTCACACATATTATGAATAGTTTGTAAAATCCACCCTTTTATCAATAGTCTTGTCAAATTTGATGAACTGACTGCTTATTAGGTAAATTCTAATGCTACATGTATTGAACTCTCCATCTACAAAAAAAATCATAGAAATTCCTTCAAAAGGAGATAGTTATTCCCAAACTAAGGAGGTGACGTTTCTGGGGTCACCTTGTACAATTGTTCATGTTACTAAGAAATGTATAATTGTAAGTTAATTATATATATAGGGAACGCCTCCGTCCGGCAATAGCTCAAATACTGGCCCGATTTTGTTCATATTTTGTACACATATACCCAATGGGGGTAGAAGTTCTACTCGAAAACTAATTTTCAAAATGGCCGCTCATTAAAAAATGGCGGCCATTTTAGTGCCAATTTTACAGTAATCTAGGTACTGCATATAAAACTGTAAAAGCAATATGTTTCAAATGTAAAAAGGTTATATAGGACATTGATTAAGCTAGATATGTAAATACGGAAGAAATACATGGCAGCCATCTTGAAAAATGGCTGCCTTTGCACATCATTTTACAATTTTTGCTGTAACTTGAAAAGTAGTGGAGCGATTTTGTTCATATTTGGTATGTCAATTCTTTAAGCATGGCACAATGTTTAATGACATTTTTGGTAGTAGGCGGCCATTTTGAAAAATGGCCGTCATTTTTATGTGTGTTATTTTACATTTTTTACTATAACTCAAAAAGTAGTAGAGCGATTTTGTTTATATTTTATATGTGAATACTATAAGCATGGCACACTGTCTAATCATACTTTGGGTAGTAGGTGGCCATTTTGAAAAATGGCTGCCATTTTTTACATTTTTTACTATAACTTCAAAAGTAGTGGAGTAATTTTGTTCATATTTGATATGTGAATACTTATGAGCCTTGCACACTGTCTCATAACACTTCATGTAGTAGGTAGCCACTTTAAAAGATGGCTGTCATTTTTACATTTTTTACTATAACTCAAAAAGTATAAATACTCGTAAGGATTGCATACTGTCTTATAAAATATGACATTTTGGGTAGAAGGTGGTCATTTTAAAAAATGGCCAGCATTTACATGTATGTGTGTGCCATTTTTTGAAAATTTTATATGTGGCTACTTAAAAGCATATTACTTCTTCTGATGACAATTTGGCTAGTGTGCAACCATTTTGAAAATGGTGGCCTTTCTTATGGGTGTTATTTTATGATATTTGCTATATATTCTGTTTGTAAAAATGCCAGCCATTTCTGTTCGATGGGATTCGCTACGCTTTGGCGTTGCCGTTGTTCTGGTTTTAAAGGAAAATAAATGTTATTTCAAATTTTAAAAAAAATGTTACTTAGAAATTTGTCAGCCCCATAGATCTGATTCTGCCTGTAAGTACAGATTATTTTTTATTTTCAATTCAAAGAAAGAACAAACATGTATTTTGACCACTATATGTATTCTTTGTTGCAAGGCATTGGAATTTAAAAAAGGTTTAATTTTAGAGTTTACGGAGCACAATGGATACCTTGAGTACCAATTGAGAGTATTCGTGTAGCCATACAGACTTTTATATGTGCCCCATGATTAAATGAATAGTTACATTCTTCGAAAATATTTGCTATTAAATACTCCATTATTCAGTAACTAACTCTAAGTTTATTAAAGTCATTTAAGAACACTCCTCTATTATAAAATGAAATACCAAATACAAATCTTTTGATTTGTAATCTTTTCAAATCATCATCTTACCTCAGTATTGAAGTGTGGGAATCGCATGTTTCAGAATTTGACATATTGAACTCTGAAGTCTCCCTAAAATATCTTGTTTTAAAAATATGTTCCTTAAAGATATGTTGGAATTTGCCCTTAAATGTATGTTAACTCTTTATTTGGATTTCATTAAACAAATATGTTATATTAAAATGTATGATTTTGCCTTCAGATTTCAGGCTAACTATATTCAGTAAAAGATTCACCGACAACTATTTTAATATAGAAAATCAGATTGTCTTAACTTTTTCAAATTCAACTGTATTTTGCGAAATCAAATGCAGGTATCGGAAATGATGTCAATTTATTTTTCCCAGCCCTAAAAACATTTTTTCTTTACACTGTACATATCATTCAAATAAGAATTCAAACATAAGGAGGCTTAAACACTCCGGTTGCCAAACTTTTGGAGGGGATGTAAATTGTATGTGCAGGGTGGTCAAATAAAACGGCAACCCTGTCGCTATACTCCCTGATATTTGGTACATGTGTACATCATTCAATCTCCCACCAGCCTACAGTATTTCATGACAAGGTTGATAGTTTACAGCACTGCTGTAAACAACAACATGCTCCATAGTTCAATATTGTGCTTTTGGCAAACCTGCATCCGTCTTAGAATGGTCTGAAGGGTCTATTTTCAATTTTCTTAACATCCTGGGTGCTAATTACAGAGAATACGGTAATTACCTTTTTATTCATCAAGGCATACTCTCATGCACATGATATTGTCTAAAAATGTTCAAAAATACTATTATCTGAGATTGGGATTTTTGTCTTAGCCATTATTTGAGTCATTATTGGATTACTTTCATACATATTATCAATAATTATAGGATATCCTATGATTTTGAGGAATATCATTTTTATCTACGAGGTGATATTGATATCTGCACGAGAGAGCGAAGCGAACGAGTGCATATATCAATATCACCGAGTAGATTAAAATGATATTCTGAAAAAAATCATAGGATGTTCTTATTATCCTACACTTACAAGGAGTGTACTGAATGTATAATATCAATGTAAAATGAATTTCATGCCAAATAGAGTTAATTTGGCGGGAAATCAACAAGCGGAGTATATCGTCACAATATCCTCCGCATATTGGGTTTTCCGGAGTATATCGTCACGATATCCTCCGCCCGGAGTATATCGTTACGATATCCTCCGGATATTCATTTTGCCAATAAATATCAAATTTATTTTTTCATGTTATTATACATTTAGTACACTAAGTGTAGGATAATATGTCATATCTACCAATTTTTAAAATAAGTTTGTCAAATATGATCAACTGACTTGCTTATTATGTAAATTTTCAAAGACAAATTTCCTGACTTACAATTTGAGTGTTTGGTGCCAAAGCATGCTTCTAAGGAAAACATAACTCTAGTTGCTATGCAAGCACACAAATGTTTTATGCATTGAACTCTTCATATTTGGGAAATTTATTAAAATTTTTGGGGTCACCCTGTAAATACAAAGTATCCCAACATTTGCAGGTAACAAACTCTTATATCAAGGAAAACATGTTAAACTTTATTGTGTTTTATATTCATAACCAAAGAGTTCAAAATCATATTTGTATATATCATAAATTTTCTCGATCATATCACTAGGCAGTTGTTTTAACATGTTTCTCCTTAGTTCTGCTTTGCTAATTCTATATCCATTTGATGTTTGATAAAGTTTTAGGAAAAGTGCATATAATCTTTCTCTGGTGTAGAACTTTGGGTCCGGATTCAGGGCTGGTAGCATTGCCCCTTGACTTATGTAGCCCCTAGCAACAAGGCCTTGGAAGGCCCTCACTATTAAATCCTGCATACTGTATCCACACATGCTTTTCGTTTGAGGCATTGAGTACCCCCTGAGAAGAATGTCAACCTCCCGTGTTATGACATCACTATCGTGTTCATCATGTTGTTGATTAGTTCCACTTATCTTCTTTAAGAAAAAATTTGTGTCTTCATTGAAAGTTTCTAAATGTGCTATGACATCATATTTCATGTCCTTGCATGGGTTACAGTTTTTGTAAAGGGGGCGCCAGTGTTTGTTAAGGTTAATATGTTTGTTATCCTGTTGTATGATATATCCTATAAATTCTTTAAATGATATATCACATATGCAGTTGGGTACTGATGTGTCATTGTTAGTTGATGTGTCACCACTTTCATTAAAGGAGTTAACTGTTGATGTGTCATCAGTTGACACTTTACCACGTCTATAGAGGTTGAATATCATACCTGCTATGTTCCTTCTACACCAAAAACTTGGATTGATGCTGTACATTTTGTCCCAATATGCAGATATAAGCCGATTAATTGGATCTCGTACAATTACAACTTTAGTATAATTCTCTATTTTGTTCAACATTTTTGCATCTATGTTATTTTGTTTTACAATATATGTTCTCACACCGCCATGAAGATGTGCTTCTATTGCCCGCATTTTGTAAGGATTGGATATGTTTTTTTCAAGGCTATATAGAATTCTTTTGAAAGTGCTACTACCCACCTTTTGGATGTTGCAATATACAAAAGGGAAATGTTTTCCAACCATAACAGAACCACCAGGTGTATTTTGCTTTGAAATTTCCGGGTGTAAGGCACACATTTTCTCCAAATGTTGACGTCTTTCTTTGAGGACCTTCATTGTTGACAACTCAGCTAGATTGAGTTTGGCCAATTCAGTTTGTATATTCCAGTCTTTTATTTTGTGCAGTGGTTTTAATTCAAAGATTTCTGAAACTAAAGTTGAAGACGTATTATTGACCATCTAATGAGCACATTAAGTTTTCAAAAATCAGAATTTTAAAATACCGTATTCTCTGTAATTACCGCCCACTCTCTAATAAGCGCCCACCCCGCTTCACAAAGTTCAAGAAACATCGAGGAATCATAATAATCCATAATGAATGAAGGAATTGTTCTTTATCGGCATTCAGAAATTTCAAAAGCTACTGCGCAGATGTTCTGCGCATGTCAAGGTCTGGTTTCTTTTTAATGTTTCTCGACTTTTACACGACTTTTGCACGAATAATGATGATCTCTCATCAAATTAGAAATAATGTATAACTTTAGATCAATATCCAGCAGTCTCTAGTGGAAATATTGAAGGTAATCGGCGATAATGACAAAGTGGGCGTGCCGGAAATAAATTAGACATAGACGGGTCTTCAACCACTGTCAATATTGTCTAAGCGATTTTTATCGTATTCTCTCCAATAACAGCACTTGTCATATTATTATAAAAATATGTTGAAGAAAATGCATTCTTGTCAAGAAAAATTGCCATACATGAAATTCCTCGGGATTTCTGATTTCTTTCATACATGGGCGCTTATTAGAATGGTCTAAATAAGGTTATAATGAAAACACGCGCTAGCGCACTAACGCACTGTTCAGAATGATCGTTCCCACAGGCCCGGGAACATGTATAAAAATCGAGTGAGTGAAGAGATTAGGTGGCTCATCAGAAAGCAGAAGTATGAAGAACCCCAATGTTTGATCGTTAACTGTGCAAAGATTATCGATTGTCAGTGTGTTTTATCTGATTTAAAAGGAAGATAGAAAGTAGCACCTTACAAGATGAATGGTCGCAGATATGCGAATATGCTCCCTATTTCATTGCATTCTTTGGGTCCATCCATCGGCGAGAAAAATCCCGTTTCGAAATCTGACCCGGGGGCCCGACTACTTGACTAATGACTTAATATAATGTTTATTTGTCGCATGTTACCTCTTAATATCAAGTCATGGATGTTTTATATATCTTTACTCTTTGTATTTGAAGTTATATCTCACATGACTTACCAAACGGTGGAATAATTCAGGCGTCGCATTTATATTTTTCCATTTTTCTTTTCGTGCCCGGTTACTCTCTTTCGCTTTCATGGGGGGGGTGTATAGGGTTATCGTATAAGAGGAGGGTGAAAATCTATTGTGTATGGCCGCATAAGAGGGGGCAACATTTATCGTATATGGCATCGTATAAGTTAAATAAACATATGTTTTAAAAGAATTAAAGAAGCCTATTATGAAATTTAAAGGCAGTTTGAACGAATACTGCAGATCCAGCTTATCCCCATAAATTTGGGATTTCAATACACAAGTAGTTGTGGGGGCTTGCCCGTAGCCAGCTTTTTTCCAGGGGAAGCTTTTTCACAATTTTGGCTAATAATCATGAAAAAAAATCTCAGAATGGTGAAAAACTGCATGATTTTGAAAGAATCTCTGGCCAGAGGGGGAGCTCCGCTCCCCCAGCTCCCCCTCTGGCTACGGGCCTGGTTGTGGGGGTGATTTGAAAAATCAGTCCCACGTTTATGGGGGTAATCCAGATCTCTATATAGTAGTCTCTATATGCCACATGCCAGGACAGTAACCAGGATTTCCCAGGGGGGGTCACTTTTTCAAAAATTCCAAAGTCACCCTCCGAACCCCCTGGCTTCGGGGCTGTGTACTGCCTATTTGCCGTATGCTTACATTTGGTACTACGTGGATTCTTGCAAATGCAAATAATTATGTTAATTCCTTCTGAATATTATCCAAACTTTTCTCAACGGTAATTTCAAAATTATCGTACAGATATATTATTTACCCGACCTTTTTGTAAAATATAGTACTATAGGGAGTCGGTGCATTCATGCACCCTCTGGGTCTCTGAGGATCGTGTTGGTTCACCGTCTATATAGGGAGATGTGAAAAATATTGCATACACTGTACTATGTTATATATGTAAAAGGGGTGAAAAATGCTGTAAATGGTATAAGACTGAAGGGCTTGTGAAAAATAGTGTATATGGATTTCCAAGACCCCTATGAACCCCCCTTTCATGTTTGCTTTCGTTTTTTCTCAATTTGATTTTAGATTAAAAAAGTTTTGAATTACGTCAGTCCCAGTGAATTGTATTACCTATTTTACCAGGAATATTGTTGAAAACAGGATTGTATTTCATTTGGAATTAAAGTTTTAAATAAGAGACGATTTAAAAAGTAATGTAAACCCGACCAGCGTGTTTTATCATTGTCCGGTAATTGGCCGTAAATATTTATTAATTCTAAGTTACTCATGTTCTTTCAGGTCAAATACAGAGAAAAGTACACGTTCATTTAGTTTTGGAATTATTTCCTAAATTGAAGTTGAATTCTGTTTTTTAACGGTGTGAAGAACATCTTAATTGGTCTTATATTTTTAGAGAAATCGTAACTTGAAAAGTGTAATTTTCGAGAGGCTTTGTTTATTTCCTGCGGCCGCAAAGTTCACATCAAAGTCTGATTGACAGGTTAGCGGTGATTTATACAGTCTTTGAAGTGTCAATGTTTTGACAAGTTCCCAGGGAGTCATAACCCTAATTATACATGTCCCTGGGCCAAGGGTATAGACCAATCATAAACATGTGCTTAAAACATGCGCAAACATCGTGGGGGAAGGATCATTTTCTATTAGCGCATTGGCGCGTGGCGCGTTAGCGCTTAGCGCGTGTTTTCATTATAACCTCTAAATAATGTATTTTCAATTTTCTAAACGCCCTGGGCGCTAATTACAGAGAATACGGTATACTGATTTTGTTTTGATGATAATTAATATATTGTAAGGTCCACACATTGAATTTAATAGCATTTTAAAATATACTGATTTTGTTTTGATGATAATTAATATATTGTAAGGTCCACACATCGAATTTAATAGCATTTTAAAATATACTGATTTTGTTTTGATGATAATTATTAATATATTGTAAGGTCCACACATTGAATTTAATAATGCAGTTTTCAATTATTTACATATATGTCAGTTTATAGTATATTCAATTTTCAAATCTATTTATTCATTTCATAATTTCTTATATAATATACACTATAAAATCATACCGCTAGACACCCAGGGGCATATGTTGCAGTGTTTTAAGGAAGTATCAGAGCTATAAGAGGTCACAAAATTGCAAGCAAAATGAAAATTTACCTTACAATGTATTCATTACTATCTCAGATATGATATTTCCCAAATGATCCGGGATGTATTATGAATTAATGAAGTTATAAGGATTCAAAGTTCAAAAATGGGGAAAATGTTTAAATTCTTCCAAATAATAAATGTACATGACATTTATAGAAAAGCAATACACAATTCAAAAATATTTTGTTTTCATGAAATAAAGTACATGTACATGTAAGTTAATACAGTATGCACATTGTAGATTTTTAGAAAAAGACAAGGAATGATATGAGCCAAAAATATTTATTCAATTCAAAGATTTATTCAATTTTTGTCAATACAAGGTATGCTCGCCAATATCTGATACTGTCTACATAAACAATGTTATGAATCTAGTTTATCTGAAATTTTTACAAGAAAAACTTATTTCAACTTTATTACGGGGTTTTCAATCTACAAATAAATTCTTATTTTGTTTTTTTATTCATGTTTAGACTATTAATATGATATTTGATTATTCCTTTTATATATATATATATGTACTTACCAATGATCAGTATGGTCCCTATGAAAAGACACACTGTCAATGCCACTTTGTTTAAACTTGCTCCACACATTTTCAATTTATTTATGTGTCTATTAGCAATCCAGTCTGACAAGCAATTACCCATACCTAGCTGATGTAATTCCAATATATTCAGCTTTCTCTCGTATTACCCCACTGATATAAGTTTTTGAAAGGAATATGGAGAAGCTGTCTGTCCATTTGTGTGTGTGTGTTTTTGCTAAAATAATATTGCTATAATATTGGTCCTGTCTTACTCGAGTCTCTAGCCAATTCTTGCACGATACATTGGCCTTAGAAGAAGTTAAGTCCTGGCATTTGTATGCTAATAAAAATTAATAATAAATTGATTGGTTTTTATGTCCCCACCACATAGTGTGGGGCCATATTGTCGGCCTAGGCGCGTCCTTCCGTCCGTACGTCCGGCAGTTTTCTCCAAAACCGCTACAGATATCACCTTCAAATTTTCAGGGATAACTTATGAGTGCATACAGATGTGGATGAAAATTTTTTTAAATCGATACCTACTTCCTGTCGGCCATTTTGAAGTCAAATGCTAAAATCCTTGTCCGCAAACTTTAAGAAAATCTGCTTCATAGTTGCTTTTCAAACTTTAACATCTTGTTCAGCTCACTTCATTCTACATCTGAATAGGTTTGGACCTGTTAGCTCAGTCATGGCAGCCATTTTAATGTCTTAAGAAAAGTTAGCGTGCGATAAAACTTTGTATCATATTGAATGGTGTTGTTGAGTTTTCATAGTTTAACTATTTTGTAGCTTTATAAAAAATTTCAGGTGTACTTTGTTGTAAAAGCCTATGTTATTGTTAATGGCAGTTATATGTGATAATTTTGTAAAAAGAAATCAGCAAAAACTTATAATCACTTTTTTATTGTCGGCCATTTTGCATTTTTTCGTCCTAAAATCTTGTTTGTAAAGTCTTGTCTACACGCTTTCAGTTGAACCATTTGGTAGATCAATTTTAAATTTTCAGGGATGATTCTTAGTACAAAAATCTAGATCTAATTAGTTTTTGGCATTCTGTGTAAATGTCAAGGCGGCCATTTTGGATTTTCCGTCCTAAAATCTTGTCTGTAAAGTCTTGTCTAACCATTACCAGGTGAACCGTTTGGTAGATCAATTTCAAATTTTTAGGGATGATTTTTAGTATGAAAATCTAGATCTGATTAGTTTTTTGGCATTCTGGGTAAATGTCAAGGGAGCCATTTTGGATTTTCCGTCCTAAAATTTTGTCAGTAAAGTCTTGTCTACGCGTTTTCAGGTGAACCGTTTGGTAGATCAATTTCAAATTTTCAGGGATGATTCTTAGTATGAAAATTTAGATCTGATTAGTTTTTTGGCATTTTCGGTAAATGTCAAGGCAGCCATTTTTGATTTTCCGTTCTAAAATCTTGTCAGTAAAGTCTTGTTTACGCGTTTTCAGGTGAACCGTTTGGTAGATCAATTTCAAATTTTCATGGATGATTCTAAGTATGAAAATCTAGAACTGATTAGTTTTTTGACATTCTGGGTAAATGTCAAGGCAACCATTTTGGATTTTCCATCATTAAATCTTGTCTGTAAAGTCTTGTTTACCTGTTTTCTGGTTAACTGTTTGACGGATCAATTTCAAATTTTCTGGGGTGTTTTTTTTTTTTTTATAGTATAAACTTTATTGAAGTAAAGTCAATACATTTTCGGCCACCAATCGCCATATTGGCATCTGGGGTGGTTCATAGTATGAAAATCTAGAACTGACTAATTTTATGGCATTCTGGTTAAAATTTAAGGTGGCCATTTGGATTTCCCGTCCTCAAAATGTGTCGGTAAAGTCTTGTCTACTCACTTTCAGGATAACCATTTGACGGGATCACCCATTGGTGGGGACATTTTGTACACATTTGTGTTCTTGTATGTATGTATTATGGGAGTTTTGCTAGGTTTAGATGTAAATAAAACTGGTTGCTAGGTAGAATAGAATGTAGGTCAGTGCGCATGCACAGGAAGGCACCATTTTCCGTCTATTGGTGGAAGATCAAACTTCCAAGAAATCACCAAAATTGGAGAAAATGATCCCCGTTTTCATCACAGATGTACTCAATTTTCACACAACTTATAAGATATATATTCTTTTACGTTCCCCAAACATTATTTTGTCAAAATGTTTCATAAATCATCAAATATAAGAAGAAATATGCGCGGTAGGTTCTACAGTTAGAAGTTTTGTTAATAATGTTTCACATTCTCAAAATTCATTTTGTTTGTTGCATGTACGGATTGCACTGAACAAAAGGCTCGGAGATTGAATGTTTCACCGCAGGTGTGTTTATTAGTTAATACAGGCAATTCAACCAATGAACTTGTTTAGATTTTACAATCACATGAAACCAGCATGAGATGAGAACCAATCACGTCAGTTGCCATGCTGTAAACCATAAACGATCCTACTATTAGCCATTTTTCAGTCACATTTTCAGAGAGCTGGAAAAGTTATTTCATCATGTTTTAAGGGTCATTCTGACCATGGCCATCGTGATCCTGGTCATGTAAATGATATGTGGAACTTGTTTAACTGACTGGAGGTCAAAACAGAACTCTGATATCTTGGTTCAAAAAATATTTGAAATCCAGCATGGTTTTGTCACTTCCTGTTTTGTCATTTCCTGTTAACTACCAGGGCACCTTAAGGTTATATTTTACTGTTGTAATTTTGCCTAATATACAACTTCTATTTCAATTATGAAATGGTTGAATGTGTAGTTATTTGACTAACTATGATTTTTAAGTGGGATTTGCTTCTCCATGGAGTTGCTATTTTCCTATTCATTTCCAATATTTCTAGCATATTAATTCAAGTTCATTAATGTGCAATTTCACTGGACGTGCTTTTTCCTTTTTCTTTCTTGATTGGTTTTACCATGGGTTTTCATAATTGAAAACCAATGGTTTTACATTTTAATTGACATATTTACATGTGAAAGCAGTCAATATGGTACAACGAAAATGGGACTTCTGCGCATGTTAAATGTTTCGTCAAAACTCAACTTTTGTTCAAGTTGATACGATTGTCTTTCGAACTAGAGACTTACCTCATTCGAAAGATCATAAAAGACGTACTTTATCTATACTGAAAATCTTAGATCCAAACATAGTAGAATACGCCGTCAGTCCGCATTTGATTTTTTGAAGTGAGTTTCGTAGATCGTCAGATTTCTCCGACTGATATCGGGTTATCTCAAACTGGTTCGTTTATAAATACGCATTTGTTTACCGTTGTAAGGCGCATGCGCAAAATTGATTTATAAACCTTATTGGTTGATGGTTTTTCTCCTGCGCATGCGTGAAGTCTGATGAACACTTATGACGAAGACCGGAGCAAACATTACTAGCTCTTGAACGAAATTCCAAGATTCAGGTCATTTCGCCGTGTTTGCTAAGCGTGTATACGTGAATGACAAGCTGTTTTGAGTAGATCGGGTACCTGTTTTAGACACAACATTGATTTAGCTTGACATTGATGTGCACATTAGCACTTTTGAGCATGTTAATACAAGTTTTTACACTCTTAGCACGAGACGGGTTTTCGAAAAATCTGTTATCTGATTCACTCGATTATCGTATGGATATGTATTTCTGCTGACATTTCAACACCACATCACATAGAATTACGATGCAGAATGATAATAAAACACAAAACAACTACTAAATTCCACTTGTTATTTCACAGGAGGTAAAAATGCAAACTGCCTAGATTCTTTGTAAGGGTCGTCAGACATCGGATTGGCCGCCATATTTGAAATGAAAATATCACTAAATAGAGGTCTGCGCATGCCTCAACATTTCGACTGAAAGCAGTATGTACAATATGAAATGTTCTTCATCATATTTAATACCAAAGCCAGCATAAACAATTAAAGATATGTAGAAATGGAGTAGTTTGAGACTGATGTTAACTTTCATGTTGGGTAACATATTTTTATACCATCACTATTCTAACATTTATATCTATTCTCTTTATGTGTTTACAAAATGAAAACAAAACTCCTAATGGTCGTCTTAATGGTATTTGTTCAGCACATAACTTATAGCAGCAATTTCTAAAGGAGCATAATTATCAAATGTATTCTGTAGTTAATCTACATAGTACATATTTTATGATTATGATTTGTCAGCTGTCATAAATAGCAGGTTTTTAATGCTCAGGAGAAAGTAAACAATTAAGTTGAGGTGTGTTTTTGTTTGTTCAGTTTGCCAACTAATTACGCCATGTTTAACAATGGTATGGTGAATACAGTGACTGGTCTATCAGAATTCTCACCAAGTATTTTCAATCACTTCCTCACTAATGACAAGTCACTTCCCATTGGATAACATTATGAAGATAATATTTCCGACAAAATTTAGGCAATAGGCAAACCACGTATACAGTATTGTTATAGTCTCCAATTTAATTGTGGACAGTGTTTGATATTCAATGTTTATGTTTGACATTCGGCAGTTGGTGTTGGTGTCTGGTGACTATAATTATCAAGCATAATTCTTGGTTATCACACAGATATGTAAATGAATAGGTAAAATGGTCGATGAGAAGTGATTATTAATGTCTCAGATAAAGTAGATCTGATGGCCTATATTCTTTGCTCATTTATTTTCATAGGTGAGACGCCCCTGCATGTAGCCTGTATCAAGAACCAGGTTTCACGGGTCGTGGAGCTGCTACAGATTCAGGGGATAGATGTGAATGCCAGGGACAATGCTGGTTGGACACCTCTCCATGAGGCTTGTAACCATGGCAACACAGAATGCGTTGCTGAGTTGCTGAAGTACAAACCACAGAAAACTATTACCAGTTATTTTAACAAAGGTTAGCCAAGGATGGATTTAGAGTTTTTCTTCACATTTTGGGGTATTAGCAAAGTTATTTTTTCCTTAAAACAACCTTGATGTCATGACAATATTAGTCCCTATTTCTTTGTAGTTTGGATCATTTCATTTTCACACATAGTCTGCCATATTTCCTTGCTGTACATAGACACATACTGTAATAAGCGCCCACTTGTATGCTATACAGAAAATTCCATTTGCGCATATTAAGTGCAATAATTAGAGTGCAATTAATTAACATGTGATAGCAGTACGGAATTATAGGAAATTGCTGATGAGACAGAGATAATAATTATTACAACTGACATATTTTTATTGATTTATTGTGGAAATTGAACAATATAAACTATGTCAAGCAAGTAGCCAGCCTTTGCGGGGGGGGGGGGGGGGGGGGGCAGGGGGGGCACTTATACGAAAAATTCCAAGGGGTTCACTTTGACTAATTTGGGCCTAAATCACATGAATAATACTCAGAATCGTTAAACCTGCATGATTTTGAAAGATTTTTTCAGCCAGGGGAGTTTGCCAAAACCCCTCAACCCCCCCCCCTCCCTAGCTACGGGCATGTGTGCTTAAAATAAACATTGACTAGAAAACCTTATGCTTACAAAAATGAATCTCATCTGCTAATTGAGTTGCATTATTTAGAGAAGTCAATATTCATATAGACCATGTTATCTTCCTGTTTTGATGCAACTTTGTGTATCTCCTTTATGTTTATAATTGGGGATTAAGGCACACTTTTGTCACTTTGGATTCTGGTTGTTTTTTTCTTCTTAAACATAGACAAATTAAGCTGTAGGTACAAGTATGTTTAACATAAGTATAGGGCAACAGTGTTGTACTGTGCTGTAGTCTAAAGGCCTAATGGGAGCCCTGTTGCTAGTACAGTAAAATTTCTATATTCAAGCACCTCTCTAATCAGAACACCTCTCAATGTGAACATTTTTTCTCAGTCTCAATTTAATTATCTACGTATATTGTCTTAACAGTAAGAAACCTTTATATTTAGAAATCTGCTATTCCAAAAACTTGGATTGAGTAAGTTTAACTGTAGGCCCATGTGTTTTTCAGGATCTGTACAGAAATTGGATCTACAAGCAGTAGATAATGAATTTGGTATAACCCCACTTCACGATGCTGTTGAGAACAACCACATAGGAGTGGTAACATTGCTAATGCAGCATGCAGGTAAGAAAGTGGTAACATTACTAATGCAGCATGCAGGTAAGAAAGTGGTAACATCACTAATGCAGCATGCAGGTAAGAAAGTGGTGACATTACTAATGCAACATGCAGGTAAGAAAGTGGTAACATTACTAATGCAGCATGCAGGTAAGAAAGTGGTAACATCACTAATGCAGCATGCAGGTAAGAAAGTGGTAACATTACTAATGCAGCATGCAGGTAAGAAAGTGGTAACATTGCTAATGCAGGTAGGAAAGTGGTAACATCACTTATGCAGGTAGGAAAGTGGTTACATTGCTAATGCAGCATGCAGGTAAGAAAGTGGTAACACCACTTATGCAGCATGCAGGTAAGAAAGTGGTAACATCACTAATGCAGCATGCAGGTAAGAAAGTGGTAACATTACTAATGCAACATGCAGGTAAGAAAGTGGTAACATTTCTAATGCAGCATACAGGTAAGAAAGTGGTAACATCACTAATGCAGCATGCAGGTAAGAAAGTTGTAACATTACTAATGCAGCATGCAGGTAAGAAAGTGGTAACATTACTAATACAGCATGCAGGTAAGAAAGTGGTAACATTACTAATGCAACATGCAGGTAAGAAAGTGGTAACATCACTAATGCAGCATGCAGGTAAGAAAGTGGTAACATCACTAATGCAGCATGCAGGTAAGAAAGTGGTAACATTACTAATGCAGCATGCAGGTAAGAAAGTGGTAACATTACTAATACAGCATGCAGGTAAGAAAGTGGTAACATTACTAATAGAGCATGCAGGTAAGAAAGTGGTAACATTACTAATGCAGCATGCAGGTAAGAAAGTGGTAACATTACTAATGCAGCATGCAGGTAAGAAAGTGGTAACATCACTAATGCAGCATGCAGGTAAGAAAGTGGTAACATTACTAATGCAGCATGCAGGTAAGAAAGTGGTAACATTACTAATGCAACATGCAGGTAAGAAAGTGATAACATTACTAATGCAGCATGCAGGTAAGAAAGTGGTAACATCACTTATGCAGCATGCAGGTAAAAAAGTGGTAACATTACTAATGCAGCATGCAGGTAAGAAAGTGGTAACATTACTAATGCAACATGCAGGTAAGAAAGTGGTAACATTACTAATGCAGCATGCAGGTAAGAAAGTGGTAACATTACTAATGCAACATGCAGGTAAGAAAGTGGTAACATTACTAATGCAGCATGCAGGTAAGAAAGTGGTAACATCACTAATGCAGCATGCAGGTAAGAAAGTGGTAACATCACTAATGCAGCATGCAGGTAAGAAAGTGGTAACATCACAAATGCAGCATGCAGGTAAGAAAGTGGTAACATCACTAATGCAGCATGCAGGTAAGAAAGTGGTAACATTACTAATGCAGGTAAGAAAGAAGTAACATTACTAATGCAGCATGCAGGTAAGAAAGTGGTAACATCACTAATGCACGTGGTATCATTACTTATGCAGCATGCAAATGGTAACATTATAAAAGAGAGAAAATGATATAGCGAGCAGGCTAAACAAAAAACTGTTCCAATTTTAGAATATTTTTTGCTCATGTCACTCCTTGTCATGTCTATTTTCTAAAAATCACAAAAGTGCATACTTTATTCCAGGAAAACTAAAGATTTTTACAATAATGTATTATTTTTCTATAAGAATGGTTACCAATTAAAAATTTTCACCCATTTTTGCACTTTGGATCAATAATAACTTTACCAATTTATAACATATTGTGAATCTTTTGGGAGATATTGTATTTGATATTGTAAGGAATAGATTGGAAGATTAATTATACATGTTTTTTGTAATTTTGTCATCCCCTATAGATCAGATTCTGCCTTTAATTCAGCATGCTTGTAAAGAAACTCAACATGTTTTCAAATGTAAACTAGAGTAAAAAGGGGTGGAATTAGCAAGGAATAAAATAAATTCAAGGCAGTTTATTGAGAGAAGGAAAACACAACTAATAACTGGAAAATGTGCACACATGAGTTTTTATTGATGCAATGTGCAGGTTAAAAGTTGTAATTGTGGACGAAAAAGTGGTTGTGGTTTTAAATGGCATAATTCAGTGAAAAAGAGTGAAATCAAAGGAATTAAGTAGACTGGCATTTAGCTGACTCTGACACTTAAAATTGAAAATAACTGCCAAAGAAATCTTCCAAATAAACTCTGCCATCTTTTGTTCGTAAAAATATGCAATATTTTTACAAAATATACAATCATGAGTTAAAATTTAAATCATCTACTCCGTAGGTCCAGTTCTGCTGAATCTAAAATCGAAGACTGGGCAAACACCATTGGATTTGGCTGAGACAGAGGACATGCAGCTCGTCCTGACAACCACCCAAACAACAAACAAAGCAGTAATCGTCACACCGATCAAACGCAAATATATCCTAAGTAAGTCATTTTTGGTTTGAACCTTCTTTGATTCATTAATAATCTTATAATACAAATCATTGCTTTCTGACCAATCAAAATCAAGTATTTCAATTTAGAAACAAACACTTTATTCATCTTTATAGATTCTAACGACTTGGTTGGCGATTTGTCAACATTTTTTTGCACTTTGAAAAAGCGCTATATTGCCTTTGCTTGTGCTTATTGCTGTGCGTCAGTGTGTGTGGGTCAACACCACATTAAACTTGTCATCACCACATTAATCTTGTCATCACCACATTAATCTTGTCATCACCACATTAATCTTGTCATTAAAATTCCTGAAAAAAACACTTACAGATCCAAGTGTAGACTAGCGCCAATATCTGATAAGGTTTTAAGCATGCTGGGTAAATTACATAACAGCCATTATACTTTTCAGAGTGTTCACTGCATGTCTTATTTCACTGATGAGATTGTCAAAATGTTTTTCTCAATTGTTGCAGATAGCCAGTCTTCCTCCCAGAGTCAAGATATGTTTGATTCTTCCCAGATGTCACTCTCACAGATGTCACAAGTAGACACTACTGACACCTATCTGCCGTCAGAAGAACTATACTCAGACATTCTTGGCACTGAGCCAAACTGTAAGTACTCTCCTGTTGTGGAGGTACAGAAATATGTGCTCTTCATCAGTCATATTTTGAAGAGCTACATCAAGCTTCACAATTTGAGATTTCTGAAACAGTTTACTAAAAACAATAATAATGCATTGTCTGATGATGTCATCATTGAAATGGTGAAATGTTTAGAAGGAGGACACACAGTGGACATTGAGGAAGTGAAACAAGATCTAGAAATTATGCAAGATCTGAGGAAACATGTAAAAGCATTTGAAAAACACATTAACAGAATATGTCAGCAAGGGACCATTACTAAGCATAGAACTCGGATTGTGGCGATGAAATTACTGTCTGGTTAGATAATAGGTGTTCAAACGCTTGTATATGATTGCTTGTTGGAAGCAGTTTTAGTTAAGTTCAGTTAAAATGCTTACTGTTCTACACTCCATGGGCTTTCGAAGCTTTCTTTTGCAATTGGCAGCCCATGTAAAATCCTAGAAGGTCAAGGTCACACTGAGTTTGTAATTGCAATATAGAATTCATATATTCTTCATTATGGTATTGAGGTCATAGAAAGTTAAGGTCACATTTTAAAGGTCAAAGAATTGTATTCTACATTTTTGTGATAGTAATGATCCCCGGATGTTGGCGTCAAGGTCATATTTATAGATCAAGGTGAAATAAGGGCCAGTATATGGGTTTGCTACTGTATCCTAGACAGCTGCTTGAGTCTGAATTATATCATGTATCTACATGTAGCTATCCTTTCTTGAATGTAACGATCTATGGCTCATTTTGAAGAGAATTGCTAATCACATATTTCCATTATGTGTACAGCTGTAATATTATTCTCTATTTATTTTAGGGTTATTGAAAGGTAGCACTTTTATGATTTCAGAGTAAATTGCTTCATAGTAGGGGTGGGACGGATAACCGAAATACCGAAAAACCGCGGTTTATAGCCTTCGGATCGGTTTTCGGATCACGGCCCTACTTTCGGATCAGCTTTTCGGATCATTTTCAGATTAATATTTCATTGGTCAAGATCAATAAAACAGTTAAAAACACTGTTTTACAGCAACATTTTTGATATTCCTAGTCCCTACCTTGTCTGTCTTGTCTGTTGCTAGCTCACTCGTTTACTAGATTTGTTTCGTATCCGCGTATTCGTATCCCTCGGTAATCAGTCATGTGGTCCCTGGTACTATATTCTTTAGTCGTGTATTCTAAATAATATGTATTGTTCATGAAATACTATAACATAAAATTCCATCTATAAAATATTGTTATAACGTCAGAGACAAAGCAGCTAATCATGTCAATCAATACAAATCCTTAAATGAATGAACCGAACCGAAAAAACCGAACCGACGGTTGATGATCCGAAAAACCGAACCGAACCGAACCGTCCCATCCCTACTTCATAGGCAAAGATAGAACAATATTATGCAAAATAGGCGTAATTATCCCAACGAACGAAGTTCGTTAGGGATATAGTGAAGCCCTCCGTCCGTCCGTCTGTCCGTCAGTCAGTCAGTCCGTCCGTCTGTCCGGAAGATAACTCAAATACTAGTTGACAGATTTTCTTCAATATGGCCGCCGCTTTAAAAATGACGGGACTTTTTCGCAAAAATCATAAATTTTTTATTCTAAACCAAAGTAATTAATATTATTGTTTGAAATTTTGGTAGTGTATTCACAACATTTATCTATTTCACATATATTCCGTGTTTTTCATCCTGACCCCCAGGGGCCATGTATGGGGGGACAGGAAAACAGAAATTTTCGCTAATTTTTAGATCTTTCTGAAGTATAGCTTTATTATACTCAAATGAAAGGCAATTAAGAGTAGATTGCAAATATTGTATCTTTTTTCTGATTCGAGCCTCGTAAAATTCAAAATGGCCGTCTAATGTACGATTTCGCAATAATTTTTCGATCCCTTCAAAGTATGGCTATATTATACTCAAATTGAAGGAATTTTGGAGTAGATCACAATTATGGTATTATTTTTCAGATTTGTATCTCAGAAAATTCAAAATGGCTGCTTTGCAGGAATTCGCAATTCTAAAATCTAATTTTTTCATTTTCAACCAAAGTAATGAGTATAATTGATTGGAATTCGGTAGTTGATATTTTGTTCGTTGGGATTTGCTACTCCGCGGAGTTGCCGTTATCTAGTTTAAGCTTCTAAATAGCCATTACAAGTCATTTTTATCAGTCCTATGTTTCAAAAATAAAATATGTGTAATTATGATTTAGTTTTGTAATGTGTTTGTACTGCTGATTATATTTCTAGTCTTAAAATAAAGTATAATATAACACCATCTTCAAAAATAATTTTGTCTTATATTTTTGTATTCGTAGTACATTTACTAACAGCATAGACTAGGTCTAGTAAATCACTAGATACTATTTACAGGGTGTCAAATAAATATGTTCTCCCCCATTTAGCTTTAACATCCATATAATGTTGCATAACTTTTTTGTCTGCATGATATCTGAATTGATCTCCACAAGAAGTTTTAGATGACGAGCTCAACTTCATTGAGATGAACTTTATGCACAAAAGTTCATACTTTTGAAATTAAGGGGAAAAGATATTTATTTGACACCCTGTAGTATACAAAAATTACTATTTATTTATATAACATATGAATATATTAAGACATTTTTTGAAAAAGATAGAAAAATTAAAAATTTACAAATCATTTACTATAACAGCATACTGTTTAGACTAAATTTCAAGTTTTTTTATTAAACTAAAAAAGTAATTCTTCAGATTTCTGAAGTGCAAATTATAAAACAACAAAATGGCACCAAATCATCAACTACTGTACAGTTAAACTTTATTTGTTTGCAAATTGTATTAATTTGAGGCACTGATATAGGCAGGTACAGAGGCAAAAGTTTTTGTAAAATTTCAGAGAAAATTATACATTCAGAACAATTTAAGTGAAACTATAAAACTGATAGCCTTGCCCAAGTCAATATTTTTATTTTTACTTATCCTGATCTTGAATTCATGATAGAAATCAAGATAAGTAAAAGCTAAGAGACCAACTTGGGTAAGGCTATAAAACTATAAAACTGAACGTCCAATAGTACCATTATGTCCCCTTTATTTTAAAAGCCTAGTCTATTTTCAAATCATGGTTCCACCCCTGGATAGTAATTTCTGTAACATTCTAAGCTAGATCATAACTCCATTGATGTAACTTTTGAATTCAGTAAATTTAAGAATGCTTACAGAAATGTCCCCCTGGTCACAATCTCTGGTGCCTCTAAGGATAACTATTACTCATTCGAACATGACTGTATTCATGCCTTCTATAAACTGTAAACAAAGTCAATGCTTCAGCTGGGTTATATTCGAGATCAATAACCCAGTTAATATGTGTAATGTGTGACGTCATAACGTTGGGTCGTAGTAATGGCGGACCATGATGAATATTCGAAACAATTTGGTGAGTTTTCATGTTCGAATCGTAATATAGACCTCAGAGCAGGGGTAATATCGTCGAATACACCCCTTGGGGCTAGGCACAAAAGCTTTCGAACCCCTCACTCCCTTCGGTCGTTTGGGGTACAGAAAACGTTTGTGCCTAGCCCTGCGGGGTGTATTCGACGATATAACCCCTGCTCTGAGGTCTATATTTCTTAATTAAAACAAGCTAGACCAAATATGACATCACAATATATCACTGAGCAATAGTGATTTGAAAATATTGGTGATGTCGAGAATTCCCATCTCCAGAATAGATTTCCTAATCCTGTAAAAACTAGATAATGTTTGCACTTGATACTTGGTAATGCCATTTAAAAACAATTTGCTTATACGATTTAAACATATAACCCAAAAATTAAGATTTAATAAAATATGGACTACAAATACATGAATTATACGCAAATATGGTCCTATATATATAGAGCAATTTAAAATGCATATTTATCTAATTATTAGAATTATTCCTCCTGAATTCAAATATTTTTTCCACTCACCACTATTATTTTTTTTATCTCATCACAATTACATATTTGCACTATATGTATGTTATACTGTTATGAGAATGACAATATCACAGTTCTTAAGTGGACGGATTCTGAATTAAACAGTTCCTTATAAAAAGGCTTTAAAATAGCTCTCGTTGGGCTACATTAAATGCCTATAGAATGCGGTTTACAATATGTGCCTCGAAGCAGTGACTTAAAGAAATTCATGTCGTTGCTCAAAATTACAATTTGTTTTAGCCTCAAATTACCAGATTGAAATTATGCATCTTTTTTCCTGACTTGTCACATGTGAATGAGGAAATAGTCCAACAGACCACAATCAATCAAACAATCGAAATGGTTAAACAATCTGTTTACTTTCTGACTGGTCCTGCCATCACCTCAATAATTGTGCTTTTGTGCTCTTCTCAATTACTTTATTTTAGGCCAGCTGAAAGCCCATCTCTGTTCTGTCATCGCCTTTAGGAAATCTCTTTGCCTATTGCCTTCCCCTTCAGCACCCCCTTCTCTCTTACTTGGCCTACTTTCTATAAACCAAGAAGAGGAGGGAAAGTCCCAGAGCTTAAGAGTTAATGGATATAATTATGTCTCTTGCGTACCACCTCCACTTGCGCAACTTCTCACCACTTAATTTTCGAAAATAAAAAGTCGTTGTGAAATTTTTAATCGATGTAAGCATATTCATTACATCTTTCTTTATCTTGATCCAAAATAACAAGCTGTCGTGATATTACTCAAAACACCAGAGATTAACATAATATTATTCGAAGCGTGTTTCGAAAATTTTGAAACCGCCATTGTTTGTCTGTCGATTTGACCAATCATGACAATATGTCTTCTCAATACAAATTACATGTATGCATACATCTTCTTTGAACCATGGGGTCATTCCCCCTGTAAACCAAGATACCATGATTAGTCCAACAAATTCAGGAGGTAATAACCCATAATTCCAAGATGAACCTATCTTCATGTAGAGACAAACCTCTAGGTTCAACTTTACATGTTGACAGTTTCATCTTTGAATTCTGGGTAATTCCCCCTCTGTCCAACAACACTACTATGCTGCATCTCAGATTTCGAATAATACTGTTTTGTACAAATGAGGGACTGAATTATAGAAAATGTAAAAGGTAGTCAGGCTTATTTTATCTGATTTTGGGCATTTCTATACAAATTAGAGTGTTAATTACATACGTGGTTACTTTATTCCTTGCTGATTTCACTCAATTTCTCTTTAAAGTTTGAATGAACTCCCTGATTTTCTTGCATTTATATACAATTTAGAGTGTTCATTAAATGCCTGTTTACTTTATTCCTTGCTGATTTCACTCAATTTCTCTTTAAAGTTTGAATGAACTCCCTGATTTTCTTGCATTTATATATAATTTAGTGTTCATTAAATGCCTGTTTACTTTATTCCTCACTGATTTCACTCAATTTCTCTCTAAAATTTGAATGAACATTCTGATTTTCTTGCATTTATATACAATTTAGAGTGTTCATTAAATGCCTGTTTACTTTATTCCTTGCTGATTTCACTCAATTTCTCTCTAAAATTTGAATGAACTTTCTGATTTTCTTGCATTTATATACAATTTAGAGTGTTCATTAAATGACTGTTTCCTTTATTCCTCGCTGATTTCACTCAATTTCTCTCTAAAATTTGAATGAACTATCTGATTTTCTTGCATTTTTAAATAATTTAGAGTGTTCATTTAATGCCTGTTTACTTTATTCCTTGTTAATTTCAGTTCCTTCATCACTATGTTTCATTTTAAAACATAACCACAAGGATGCGTTTTCTTTTCATTTCTTCATTTTCTTCTCTTCTTTTTCAACCCAGGTTTTCAGCAGTTCATCTTGTTGAATTAATTGTTTCTCAAACTTTGCACATAAACTGTTCAATTCTTTTATTGTTTCATCTTTGCTTTTGGCAACTTTGTTAATGCTGTCTCTTTCTTTTGTAAGCTCGTCACAATTTGGACATGGGCCCTGGAAATGAAAATGAGTAGGATTATGCAGATGGAGTGTAAAGAAGGGTCAAAGGTCTCAAAAGAGTCAAGGGTTAAAAGTCACCTTCTTTAAGTGAAAATATTAAATTCCCAGAATGACAAAAATCAGTCACAGAATTTCTCTGGCTCTAACTTGAGAAATTTTGTTCAATTTATCCAAAATATGTATTAAAATGTGTCTAATTTTTCCTTGTTTAGCGAGTCAGTAAAACCTGTCTAATCTGAATGCCATTGGGACAGGATTTTAAAGAAATATGAAGACATTCCCAATAAATATTTATAGCTCCCTCCACATAGCTTTATGGCATTTTTCAAATATGACTGTTCACTGTTCAAATTGAGAGGTGTTCACATTTCAATTTTTAGCATCAATGGGAGGAAAAATGGGACTGAAAAAAGGTGTTCAGATTGGGAGGTGTTCGGATTAGCCAGGCATTCACTGTATAACCAAAACAAACATTGTATATTACGACAGGAATATGGCAAAAACATAAGACAAGAAAAAATGCTCTGGTACTCTTAATGAACATAGGCAAAATTTCCTTTTAATGTAAATTTAATTATAGGACAGGAATCGAATCCTTCATTGAAATATTTTTCCAAAAACTGATATTTTGGTGACTGGGGTGGCATATCAAATCGTCTTAAAGACTATAAAAGCATAACTGCTTAATAAAAGAAAATTACATTTGATTTAGACTTCTGCTTAAGTTTTGCTCTCAACATATCAGCTTCTTCTTGCAGACGGCTCAACTCTTTTGTAAGCTCTTCTAATTGCTGTTGGCGCTCCCTGCAAATATAAATCATTGTGTAAGCTATTGGAATGGCATATATAGATGGCATTAGTTTGAATCTCCTAATTGAGCCTTTTCCAATAAGACATCTTTGCTATTTGATGCTTCATTTCTTTATAGATGGCAAGCATATACTGCCTTTAATTTTATATAGATGGCAGCATATTCAAAACTGTTATCTGAAAGTTTCCCATCTATTTCACATTTCATCTTTAAGTTAACAGATTGCAGTATCGGGGGAATTTATGGCGTGGGTGCCCAAAATAGAAAGGAAATTAAATCATATAAGCAGAGCAATCATTTCAGGAGGGAATATTTTCTAAGAGCTCTTATATCATAATTAAATAGAATGCCTTCGCTTTAAGAAAATCCAATTTTGGTAAAAGTTTTAAAGGATCCAAAATATGGGCCGAATATTTTTCTTGGAGCCTGCCTGCTCAGCTCAGAGGAAAGGAGCCCTGGACAAAGGAGCCCTTACATATGAGTAAATAATCTACTTACTGAGAATTTCCCATGAGGGCATCTGCGATCTGACGTTTCATTTTAGCGAGTTTTGTCTCTCTGACTGCGATCTCTTTGTCCATCTCATCTTTGACAGCTTGCACATCTTCAGATAGCTGCCAAACAGAAATGTAATTGGGTCATGTTTTGAAATGCAAAATAAAGTGGAACATATAAGAGGAACGCCTTTGGTGCTGTTATAAGGTGCTCCACATGCAGAGGTGGCGTTAACGCAATTTTTTACGTTTTTTACTCACATTTTTGCAACTCTGACGCAAATATTCATTGTCTACCGAGTCTTTCTGACGCACGTTTGTTTCACATGCCAAATCCCTGCTTGGTACTTGGTTAAATTGATCCCTATACGTGAAAATATGTGATTGATCAAATTTATAATTTGGCTAATTCCGGAAATCTAATATTTCGTTCAGCGTAATCGAGCCTCCTTCCTACGCAACGAACGAAACAGCTTTTCAAGATAGATTCCCGGGATTCAAGATTTTTATTCAGTTTTATAGGTGGCGTGAGTGTATCTCCCGGAAGTTGCCATGTTTGTGGCGGGAAGCTTTTGAAAACGTCAAATAAAATTCAAATAAAATTCAATAAAATGCCTGTAGTGAGGCAGTTTCTCGCTAAATGGGTGGAGGATTTCAGATGGGTAACAACAGTGCCACCAGATGCTGCCCCAGCAGCGGTGACTGGTATGAGGTGCCACCCATGACTCGCTGGACCAGATAATCAGATGATTAATAGTGACATTTTTCTTGCAATTGCCTAATTAATTAATTGTTACTAGTAGTTGTTAATGTGCTATAAGAGTACAATAAAAGGTATGCACAAAATCAAAAATAGATTTTGTATGTGGTTTCTACATTTTGTATGCATTTTTACTCAAGAAAAACACTTTAATAGCTTTAACTCAACTTTTTTTCTTTTGACTCACTTTTTGAAACTACCTGAGTCATGATGACTCACAGAAATATATGCCTACCGCCACCGCTGACATGGGAAGTTTTGAGAAAAATGGAGTGACATTGAAATGCTGCAAAATGAACTTGGTGTTAAATATGTCAAAATGTCACCACCTGCTATTGCAAATGGTTACATAGGTGAAATAATTTGTTCCATACACATACTGCTAACACCAGTCAGAAAATGGTGTTGATAATAAATTTTAGCAAAATAAAATATGGATGTTTTTTGGCCCACCCTGTGTATATGAAATAGACATGACGCCAACATTCTAAATTGTATTAACACACTTTTAGACCAGATCTTGAGAGAAATGGTGGAACTGACATGCTAAGTCCATTTAATTTGATTAAAGCCCCAAATGGCAGCCCTTTGAAAGGCAACTGTCAAGTCTAAGAAGAATAACAACATTTCGAGCCTACCCCCTGATACCATTTAAGTAAATTTCACAGACCATTTACCAGCTGTTACATAGGGTTAATAGGGGTTATAGTACACTGTATACATCAAGAGAAAGCTGCCTTTGATCACAATCAGGCAGTTTTTATTTTGATATTTTCAAAAGATTGAAGTCTCTGGATCACTAACAGAATTGAAAATCTGAATTGATCTGAAAAGCGTGAAGCGAAATGGTATAATATGTGGGCATGACAAGAATTCTTTGAAAAAAATCTAAAGTTATGCCTTTTTGGAATTTTACCATCTACTCAATTTTTTCCTTTGCTGCACCTTTAAAAAACTATTGATATCTCCATTTGCTGCCCCTTTAAGAAAGTCTACCATAGTGTCTCTCTATTACATGTCATTTCTCAATCCAGAAAATCCTAATTTTGCCTATTTTAGTATAAATATGTTAAAACATTAAGGAGGCATATATTGCACTTTTCAAAGTGCTATTTTGTCATTGTCTTGGCTGGTGGGTGTGCATGGAAGCATGTTTACGTGAGTCTGTCTGCCACAGATGGAAGGCTCATTAAATGAAAGGGTCAGGCTCCTCATGTCATCAAAATTCCAGGAAAACTACTTAACTTTTCAACTCCAGTTTTTTACATATGCATGCGCATGCTAGTGACAAGATCTGACTAGATTTTGGGCATGCTTGGTAAATTACATGAATTTTTCGATAAAAAGTCAGATATTTATTACTATGTGCCTTGTCCAGATTTTCAACAGGTTAATTCTTTACTGTATGTATGAACTGAACTCTTTCCAGACATGACAAATGAATTAATTTTCCAAACCTTATTATTTTGTCACTAAACACTATGATTATTTCTACAATAATTCCAGATCAAAGTAATCCAAAAAAATTATTTATCCTACAATGACAGACATTACTTTCTGAATATAGCATAGGAACATTACTTACAGGAACTCCATGGAATAATAAAGTTAGAATAATGTAATCAGTATGCTTTTTTTTAAATCGATGTTGGTCACTTTGTTTGTCATCATTCTTTCATAAAGTGCTGTTGCACTGTTTAAGAAGCCTTTTCGGCTGTTTAATTTTCTGATGCCAAAATCATAATTTTGGACTGTCGTTTCATAATCAATTAACATGCCACAATGTGAAATATATTGTACGCCTGCATTGCTCTTTGCTAACACAAAAACACATGAACAAAACTTTTAATAATTCAATTAGAAAACGAAACCTATATATCCTAATATTTTTTTAAAACCTCAAAATGGGAACACTTTTTCTCAGTCCCAAATCTGTCATTTCCCATTGATTCACTTTATAACAAGGCATTAACATGCAAAATGTCACCACCTGTCATTTGTAACAGATGCTGACCACCAAATGCCAACTACCAAACACCAACAATCAAACACCACCCACAAAACCTAGATATGAACATTGACTTATCCAAACACTTTTAACCAGGCCCAGTGACGTTTGGATTAGATGTTTTACTGGAACATATATCCTGACATGGCGGCAAAGGTATTCCACACCCTTGTATTCTTCTTATATACCAAATCCTGATTAACCATTATACAGGATGTTTTATGACTCTTTAAAGCGGCATCAAAGTGCCGTTGGTGTGAACTTAGCTTTAAGGACTGAGAACAGTACCTTTCAAATAGTCAACATTTCTTATTATTAAATTAAATATTGTTTAATCGAAAATTAAATATTAAATTAAATAAAACAAACAGTGTACCAACAGATATGGCACTTAGAAAGAATTCAAAATGGCTGCCTCATTAATTACCCAGTAGTAAGCCAAAAACCTAACAAGATCTGAGCACAGTAGTCTACTTTTGAATCTGCCAAAATTTCAAGCCAATTTTCTTGCTAAAAATTGACAAACTTTTGTGCTGCCAGGCGCCTGCCTACCTGTATATCCATCAGCTCAAGAAAACGACAATAGTACTTTTTCAATGTTCTCATGTACGACAATAGCACTTTTTAAAGGAACTAATTTACAACAATAGCACTTTTTAAATGTACTCCGATATACGACAATTATATATGCACTTTTTAAAGGCACTCATATATGACAATAGAGCTTTTAAAGGTACCCAAATATGATAATAGCACTTTTTAAAGGCACTCATGTATGAAAATAGTACTTTTTAAAGGCACTCATACGATACGATAATAGCACTTTTTAAAGGCACATATATGACAATAGCACTTTTTAAAGGCACTCATGCATTACAAAAGAGCTTTTAAAGGTTCTCATGTACGACAATAGCACTTTTTAAATGTACTCTCATGTATGATAAAAGCACTTTAAAGGCACTCATGTACGACAATAGCACTTTTAAATGTACCCATATACGACAATAGCATTTTTTAAAGGCACTCATGTACAACAAAAGCACTTTTTAAATGTACTCTGATATACAACAATAGCACTTTTTAAAGGCACTCATGTATGACAATAGAGCTTATAAAGGTACCCATATACGATAATAGCACTTTTTAAAGGCACATATGTATGACAATAGAACTTTTAAAGGTATCCATGTACGATAATAGCACTTTTTAAAGGCACTCATGTATGACAATAGTACTTTTTAAAGGCACTCATGTATGACAATAGAGCTTTTAAAGGTACCCATATACAATAATAGCACTTTTTAAAGGCACCCATGTATGCCAATAGTACTTTTTAAAGGCAATCATGTATGACAATACAGCTTTAAAAGGTACCCATGTATGATAATAGCACTTTTTAAAGGCACTCATGTACGACAATAAGACTTTTTAAAGGTACTCATGTATGATAATAGCACTTTTTAAAGGCAATTATGCATGATAATGATTAGGTCAAGTTAAATATACTTTCACTTTTGACAATGACAGTAATCACTTCAACAGAGAATTCAGTTAAAGGAAGTTATAATTCAGCAACATACCTCTAACTTTAATTCAACATAAGTATGTTATTTTTACTGGCATTAGCTTCGACATGAAATAAAATTCAAGTTTGTTGTAATTGCTACGAAATTAAAGAGTTTTGAGCAGCTGGTCGACATCAAAATAAAATGGAAAAAAATAGAAACACAAAAAAGATTTTCTTGCTAGGTTTCTTTACAGTTTTGGTCCTTCCTCTTTGGCATCTGTGCTTAGATATTTCTTACCTTAGTTCTTAGTTCCTCTAATTGTTTGGCATTCTCTTCCCGTAGCTTTGCTATAGTAGCGTCCCTCTCAGTCACTGTTAGTTTACTGGTGGAGAGTTTTTTCTTTGTTTCTGCGTGACTAGTCTTTTCTTTCTCAAGTAGATCTTTGTAGTTTGTTATCTATAATTACACGATGATAACTTTTATTTAATCTTTTTCCCTTTGCAATTTTTTTCAGTTTGTGATCGAATTTTCAAATGTTCATTCCCTTCAAATTCCTTGGGTTTTCTCTGAACTTTCCCAGAATTTCCTGACCATTTTAGCTGCTTTTTAGGAAACTGAAATTCCCCGACCACTTTAGCTGTTTTGAAGAAACTGAAATTCTCTTCTGACTTTCCCTGACAGTAGCAACTGTACAACAAAGAAGTTGTGTTTATATAACAAATTTGGCTAAACCCTTGAACCCTAACACTGGCTCTCACCAGGAAATATTTAGGGTGTGGTGCAAATATCTTCAGCATGACCATTCAATCGTGATAAATCATATTTATGCTATATTTTATCCTTTTTACGTGCTATTATTGTGTATTCAGTCAAGTTTAGACAGTAGAAACAGTCATGATTTGCAAATAGGTTGTGGTGGGTGCTAAATAGAGAGTGGTGCTGCGCCACAGTCTAAAAGTCTGGCAAGAGACCTACACTATGATGAGCTTAATTAATTATATACTTCAAATAGATAATATCAACATTTTAATAGAAAAGATTCTGAAAAAAGAATATATTGTGAATTTATGATATCAGATTCTACATCATATACCATACAGTATGACATTGGAGGAAAAACTGGTGAAAAAAGAGACTGCCGACCACCGACCAGTCACTCTCCACAGTTAGGTACATGTGGTCGGTGGTCGGCTGACGGTCTTTTACATAAAGATGAAAAAATGCAAAATTAGAAGTAAAACTAAAACTGGGAATCCAATGACTATGGTCGGTCTTTTACACATTTTCTTCAAACCCTGTTTTGAGGCTACCAGTGGAAAACACCGACCGGTCGGTGGTCGGTGGGGTCGGTCTTTTTCATAAACCTGAAAAAAGATAATCTTCACATTGCTTTAAATTCAATTCTAGCAACCTTTCAAAGGACAAAATCTTCAAGACTGACTGTATAATTTTACACCGTTAGTGTTATATCTTAATAAAGCGGAAACATTAAACAAAATTATGTGAATGATCATATCTCGTATATCTGTCTATCTATATCTCCCAAATTGAAATCTAATGAAAATTTAGATCCAAAAAAGCTTTTTAAAAACCACTATAAATATATATTAAAAGATAATTGAAAATTGATATGCATATGAGATGTTCAAAGCAATAACTGTGACCATAAATATGGACTATGACGTGAAGCGCTAAAACTCCAATCTAAACCAAAATTACATAATGATCATGGTTTAAAATGCAAAATGGTGTCAAAAAGAGTGGAATTAGCAAGGAATAAAATAGACAGTCATACAAGGAACACTCTAAATTATATAGAAATTTGAGAAAATCAAATACTTCATTCAAATTTTCAAGAAATTGGCAAGAAATAAACAAGAATGAATATATGATTTTCCATGAAGGCTGTCACGAAAAATCACTATTAACCTTAGCTAGCTTAATAATTTATAAAATGTAATTAATTTGATGTGAATTCTAGTTGCAAAACTCTCCGTGACAAAATGTAATTTGGATTGTTATGTAGTAAACCAGATCGTGGAATTGGCGATGAATAAAGTAAACAGGCATGTAGTCAGCATGGTCAGCTTTCAAATTATATTGAAGTATGAGGGAATCTGATACCATCGTCCAAATTCTAGACAAATGAAATGGACTAGACTATTTGGAATTGGAATTAGGTTTTGACACTGAGTGCTCTAGAATTGTCATGGCAACGTGATAACAATGAAAACTAATGTGCTGTCAAGACAAATACCATGGGGATTCAATGATATGTCCAGGATGTAAATTCACTAATTAAATCATTTCCGACTTTATTGAATCCTTAGACAACAATTCTGCACCGTCTTAATTATATTTAACGGAAAAACATGATAGTGAAGAATTTATTAAATTAACCCATCGGTGCAAAAATTGGGTAGATATTCTACTTGACTTAAAGACACAGTCTGGTTTTGTTCAAGAAATACAAAATGCATCAGGTACATTTGTACAGCAACTGCACAGCAGTCATAGCTTCCCAAAATAGAGAAAAAACTACAGTTTGGGTAATAAATCACCTTTGACCTACACGCTGAACTTTCTTCCACCAATCAGTGAGCTTGAAGAAACATACGCCAAATAGCATTCTAATTAAATATGCGCATGTCATTGGTCAATTCCGGGCTCAACGATGACGTCAGAAGGAATGACCATATATAGAACGTCGGTCAAATTTGGCCGCAAACACTGATTGGGGCGGTGAGGTCACAGGTTTATTTTAGTTTGAAAGAGTGAAGACGAAGCTCTCTTTTAAGAAGTGAAGTCAAACGATTGCAAAGGGTAAGAGGAAATTGGACTGAGGCTTTAAACTTATCAAAATGTAAAACTATATCAAATGTCAAATTAATGAAAATATGAAATTGTCATGATTTTCCAAAATCTTCAACAGGAGACAAATTAGTTAAAAGGAAGTTGTATAATATTTCTGCTCAAGTTATATTAAAAGAATAATGTAATCGGAGATTTACAATAAGGAGACAGTAATCATTATTAAACATTATAAAATACTTTTCGGACAGATCAAATAACTAATGACAGTATCATCAACTAATGACCACATCTATTAATGGCAAGGATCGCATAACTAATAGCCAAAAGTAACCTTGGTACCTTTGTCAATTTACATTTTCATATGACTGTACAGGAGAGTGGCTCAGTTCGAAAGTTTGCTTATGCCTGGTTAACTTTTCTTAAGAGGAGGGAAAACCCCATGATTCAATTGATGACATACGATTTCATCCTTCGCACACCTCCTTTCCCGGAAGTACTTACCCTCCATCTTGGTTTTCAAAGTTTTCAAATTGACCTAGTTTTAAACCAATCAACGATCGACTCGCTAAACCAATCAGCAACGATGTCATCGCAATACAGATTTACATTATAAGCGTATGTCATCTTTGAACCCTGGGGTTCTTACAACAACAAAACTGTCCATTTAAGATGCCAAATGTTCAACACAGGCTGTATTTAGTGCACTTTCTTAAAAGTTAAAAAAACAAAAAATTGGGGAAACATCATTCTAATTTAATTGCATTACTTCAATTTTGATATTAATTTATCGAATTTATTTCAAGTTTTAACAATAGAAAATATGTCTAGCACTCGTTGAAATATCCACAGCAAGACTTTTCTCCACAACATAAATTAATTAAGCTGAGCTTTCAACAGATGACAAATACAGCAAAGTTCACACAATGAAAAGTTTACATTGGCCAGGAAACTACGTAGGTTGTTCATTTCTAATTGTTCTCACAAGATATTTTCTCAGGTGGGTCCAAACTTTTCAAATGACTTTTCATGTCAATAAACTGGTCAAAATAGCAACTATTTTCCAAATTTTTCGAAAACTACCCTAAAAAAGAATTTTCACTGAGTGCAAGGCAATTTTTCCCATTTTCATTATCATTCAAAAATTTGAGTGAGACCCCCCACCACACACACACGGGCATGTATGGGGACTTTGACAAAAAAATTGGCCTGTCTAGTAATCCTTACCCCAGGCCAAATAAATGTGTCCACCCTGGGAGCAATAAATCTGGTCAAATATTCCCGACACAGGGCCCTTCCCCCAAATCTACTCTTTTTAAACATCCTTGTTTGCAGGCTAATGCTCTCATGATTGTTGAGGGATACACATGAAGTACTTTGTTTGCATCAATATCTTAAATAGGAATACCATATATGGTCATAAGATTCTTCTTCTCGTGTAAACTTGGTACATTATTTCATCACTCTCTCAATTAGTGAAACTGCTATCCCCTTAGCAACAAGGAATTTAAACATGTAAATTATCACTATTGCCAATATTGTTACAGATGCTGACCCTCGAACACTGAACACCAAATGCCAAACACCAACCACAGAATGTCAAAGACTATTTTTAAAAAAAGTTGGAGGCTATAACTTGTGATGGTGACATCTGAATTCAGTTTTGGAAAAAATTAAATTAAAAAGCTATCTTAATAAATTTAAGAATTTTTTAATTTCATAAATGCCCTCATCTGTAAGGTACGAGCAAATATAATCTAAGGTTTTAAAGTCACCTTAAGCCAGCACACCATTCTTGCTGCAGTGAAGGGCATTGAATATAAAATGGTTGTTTGATTGATTGATTGGTTGATTGATTGGTTGGTTGGTCGATCAGCATCACATATATGTTATTGTTATACAAGTTGTTACCTAGAAATTATGGGAATGTAAATATGGCACTCTAACAGATGCATTCTTTATAAATTCATATGTTGGAAATCACTTTTCAAAATATCATATCCCTTCAGGAAACATTTTATGCGAATGAACCTTAGTGTAACTTTTATGTAGAGCAAAATATTATATAAATAACGATAAAACTTTACAACGCAAGCAATAACATACAATAACAATAACTAATTTCTGTAGTTATTATGGCCCAAAAGGGGGATATACTTGTTCCATATTTCATGGTTTTATGTCAAATGAAAATAAAGGGGATTAGGGGGTTTCAGTGGTATAGTAAAGAATGATAAATGAAAATTGAGTGCATATAAATGGTATCTTTTGCATTTGTTTGACTTCACTCCAACTCCAACACTCAAGCGTACCTCAATTATCTTAAAAGCTTTCGGGTTTATTCATTGGTAAATGGCTTAAAAGAAATATTAAAAATTGTATTTCATTAGCATGGAAATACTGTATAAGTGGTAATTTTGCCTAATCATTTAATTTGCCTATTTCCCTAATTTTTGCCAGGTTCGGAAAATTAAATGTCGGAAATATTGTCTTTATAATGTTATCCAATGGGAGGTTTCTTGTAATTAGGAAAATTAAAATTAGGAAAATGATGAAATTTGACCATTCGGAAAATTAACCACTCGGATTAAATACCACTTATACAGTATACAAATGAATACAGTTATTCTTTGAAAAATGCAAAACTTCTTAAGTTGAACCTTCCTCAAGAAACAACTTTCTGATGTGGGCATGCACCGCAAAAATGAATTCACACATAGCTAGGAATGATTCAGCACGCGATGCACTGAGTCCAGGGCTTAAATCCTTAATTCATAGGAGAGGGGTAGGTTGTATTGCATTTTGATTGGGAATTGCATTTTTGAGTCTATTGGGCATACATGAGTTATAAAAAATGTATATAGTGTAAACCAAGCATAGACCTCAGACTTTTAGCAGGATTTCACAGAGACGTAAAGCCAGGCTTAAACAAACGGATAAAGACTAGCTTCATAAGTTTTATAAAGAACACTGGAAGATTTTAAGAATAATTAAGTGTTATTGAACTTGTTTTTAAACAAATCTTGGTCAAATTTTGGTCTCTTGCAAAAGATGTCTGCGGGTTCATGCTTACCTCATTAGCATGTGTGTTGGTATTGTGCTCTATGATTTGGTCTTTTGTTGCTACATCATTCTTTAACTCATCTATGATTTTCTGAAGGGATGATACTTTCTGCTTTAAACTTTTTTCCTTTGCCTAAAAATAAGAAAACAGTGTTTAGCCACAACAGTTACAATCGAACTATCATACCGTTTTATGAAAGGGGGGGCAGGGGGGGGGGGGAGATCTCCCAAAGTTCAGCCTTCATATTCGATCACGTGGTACCCATGTGCTAGATCCATATAAGGCTTACATGACCATATAGGAATCCAACTGACCGCTGTCCGCCATTTTGAATATCATGTGATAGATCCATATAAGGCTTGTATGACCATATGGGATGGCTAAGGGGAATCCCCGAATATGATAGAATATGATAGTATTATGGGAGCTACTCACTTCTTTTGGGGGGAGGGTTGGAAATATTAATTGGTCAAATTAGTTACAATATTTCACGATATCGGCTTCTCATCATGGGATTTTTTTTGAAACAGCTGCACATCACATACAGAGTTGGCAAAAACATATTTTTTGGCCCACCCTGTATCATTGTTGTTAATAATGTTCTCACAGTGTGTCTTATCATGGCACATGGTTTTATAAGGAGATATCTCCAGGGATGTGTATCTTGAAAGCATCGTAAATAACAATTCCTGAATTTCAATTATCTTTTATGATGTAACAATGGCAATATCATCATAAAATACTGGATTTAATGAATGGCAATTCAAAATATTGATTTAGAAACAGGATCCTGTTATACATCCCAGGGAATTAATTAGCAATAAATCTGTTTTGAGAAATTTTGCAACCATTTCCAAAAAACTAAATAAGTAAGCCTGTCGTCTTCATTCATTTTGCACATTGTCAGAAATTCTAACCAGGCATTAACATGCAGAATGTCACCACCAGCCCGTGCCATTTGTTACAATTTGCCACATATGTTATAGACGACCGCCAAACACCAACAGCCGGACGCCATCCATAAAAAAAGTTGGAGACTACAACAATAAGTCACTAGTTATGCTGGTGACATAACAAAACCCCTGCATCTAAAATATCAACATATTTCACCTATTGATTATATACAATTACATTAATTGCTTGAGGTTAAAGAATTTCAACAAAATATACACTTATTTTTTTCTCTGTAAAACAAATGCCGATTTACTCAAATAAGACTCATATCATTGAATCAAAGCATCCCATGATTCTAGGAACAAAATCAACTGACATTTCGAAAGGGATGGAAAATCCCGGCCTTTATGGTAAATTCCCACTATAAATAATTGCCTAAATTCATATGAGACTTCATTTACGATTATTGCACTCTACCAGTAACGAAACTTCTCTACCTACCAGCGCATCCTTAAGCTCCTTATCAGATTTCTCTTGGACCACTTTAATTTTCTTTTTATCAATGCTGTCATCAGATTTGTTACTTTCATCGGACTTTGATGTAATCGGTCGTCTTGGTGATGGAGCTTTTCGATTATTATTAACAATTATTTTTTCTGGTTCTTTTTCTGGTGATTTAGGTGGAACAGTCATAGCATTCCCATGTATGCCACCAGTCAAGTTTGGTTCACCATTTTGATTAACAGTGGCCTTAACATTTGGTAGTTTTGGCACGGTGTCATTGAAGTCGTATTTTCTAACAGACCCAAGGGGTCTCATTCCTGCACGAGGCATGATTGGACTCAGACTTCTCTTAGCTTTGTCTTTTTGAAGTGGAGGACACCCAATGTGTAAATGCACCATAAGCATGGATTTCTTGCACCATTAATGTGAATTTGCTGCACCATTAGCAGGAATTTGTTGCACCATTATGTAGATTATTCAATCTGGCATCATATTTCAATGAGTTCTGTCTCATGGTTGTAGGTTGCCGAGACTACTGAAAATATAAGAATAAAGGTCAAGGTCAATTCACACCATGGCTAATAACTACTGTGTTTTCTCATCAGATATGACATGATACACTATACATTCAAATTGATTCCATATGCTGTGGCCTTAAAATGGCAAGACAAATTTAATATAGTAAAGATGTCTTAATGAACACTTCACTCTAGGGAACACCTGTGTCTAGTGAACACCTGTGTCTATAGAACACCTCTTTTCTGGGCATGCTCCATTGAGTACTGTAGAAAATTGTCTCTGAAGTGAACACCTACCTACAGTGAACACATTTTTGGCTCCAAGGTGTTCACTGTACACATATTTCACTGTACATGTATCCTAAATCTCCTTCATCTAACAACACTGCATGGCCTCTAAATGCTACAAATGATTTTGCGTTTTATAATGCAGATAAAATTTGAACCCTAATGGGATGACTGGAGGTGGTCAATTACAAATTTTCTTTTCCCTCATCTGATATATTTAACATTATCAAAGTCCCTCTTTATCTATCTTATGCTCTCTTGATGATCGAGGTCTGTAGAACCTACATTGATCATATTTTCTGTATAACATAAATATATAAATGAATTCCAATTAATTAAAGGTGAAAGTAAATAAAATATAACTTTTTGACGAACAAGGGCAACACTTGGACTTTTGTCATCATGGTAAGCCATGCCTCCAGAATGTACATTTATAGGAGCATGAATTGAAGCCAAATGAATGGTAGCTGTTAAAGTCAGAAAATGGCGAGATATGTATATTCTGATGGGCTGTAGGTAAGATCTGAAGACTTTCTCAAATTGTCTCAATTTAGGAAATATATGCAAGTTGAGCTCTTTCAAAGGAGAGATTTAATTCTAACTATGCTATAGTATAGATCGTTTGAACCCATTCACCAAATTATAAGGGATTTAAAAGTTGATGTTAAGTGTTGTTCTGCGGGTGTAATCCCCATTATCCAAGTTTGAATTTCTCCCTTAATGCTGATTGCTTTTCAGATTAATTTGTCAATGAAAATAAACCTTCTCAATAAAATCTGATCACTTTTCCGAGAACCAAAGGAACTAAGATACTATTAGTTATAAATTACAATAATATCATTTGCACAGCAATCTAAATATAGCAAGATATATGTATTTTTAAAAATTGCAATGGATTTATTTTATTCTGGGTACAGCTTTTCCAAGTAAAATGTAAAAAGATTTATTAGAATTTTTAAAAGCTGCAATAGATTTATTTTATTCTGGGTGCAGCTTTTCCAAGTAAAATGTAAAAAGATTTATTTAAAAACTGCAATACCAATGATGCCAAGACCAATGTGGCATCAATGATCCAAAGATTAACATGACATCAGTGATGTCAAGAACAACATGACATCAAGAACAATGTGACACCAATGACATCAAGAACAATGTGACACCAATGACATCAAGACCAATGTGACATCAATGATATCGACTCATCGTGCTATAATCCATTTTAAATCATTATGCGAGGCTTATTACAATTTTAGATGTTTGCAAAGAAATAGGGCTGTTTACTGAAAGAAAAGCCCTAGCAACAATTAATACATAATCTAGATCTTTGTGTTAATTAACGCATCAATAGACTGTTTTGGAAATGAATTCACGCAATTTTCTTCAATAATTTTATCCAAAATAAAGACATCAAAAGACACATTTTTTGGTCGACTCCAGGCTCCATTTTTCATATCCAATACAACTCTAGTTTTCTTCATGACTTGCACCACTAATAATGATAAAGGGAGATATTTTTGGGCCATTTAAAAAAGCATTGAGGACAGTTTTCCTTATGGTATTTCTTTCCAATAATTGGAGATGAGCCCCAAAATAGCTCATTTTTGAACCCATAATGCTGTCCTCCCCTGCTAATTGCCCTGTCCAATGGAATATGATATCTCTATTTAAATCGTCTTTAATTACAAGATATAAACTTAAAATGTTATATATACATGTATTTATAAAATAAAATTCTAAACCCGTATTGTTTTTCTTGTTTGTGACAAAATGTAATACTTTACATACTTATGTATAATAGTCATTAATTTGATTTATTAACCATAAAAATGTTCAAAAAACAAAAATATTCGTTGTTAACGCTTTACTAAACTGCTTTCACAGACCATTTTATTTTTTCTTAACAGGATCCTTCCAAGCTAGATTATTGATTGGTCAATTCTTTGCCCCGAGTTAATTTCAGAAAAATCATTACAATGGCATGGCTTGTAATATCTAACGCTAAATCTTTATTGGTGTGTTGAAAGTATAGTCTAGCTAGCACATACCCAAAAGAATATTCTTTAGCTTGAAAAAACTTATGATTGTAGATACTGCATTATCAGAGCAGAAGTTGATATTTAAAAAAACTATAAATATGTTATGGATAAACTATGAGTACTAGGTTTTAGGATGAATAATAGCTAAGGGCATTGACCGAGGCTATAAGTTCTCCTCAGACCCAGTATGAATGATTTATCTAACTTAAACCCCACACTGACACTTATGAAAGGTAAATGGCCCATAATCCAATTTTAGGAAAAATTTTCTTTCATTTGTAAATGTAAGTGTGTTCAGAAGTGAGTGGGTGTAGTTAGTTCAGCTTCAGTGCACTGCATGTAACAGGCCAGGTTCAGTTTAAAATTTGATTTTTTGTGTCTATTCAACTATTAAATGAGTAGATAGGCTGTAATTAGTACAGCTTTAATATACTCCATGTGACTGTCAATCCTCTTTTGTGCCACACTGGTTTTGAATAGCAAGTGAATTCTTTAAAAACAATAGAAAAAGAATGCACTCTTCTTAGTTGCAACTGTATATTCTTGAAATAAACTGCAGTTCATTTATTGTGTTGCTAGGGGTATAAATGTGACCTAAAATATATTCTAAAGACAGGTACTAGTTAAATAGCCATAAAATAACATACACTATCAATTGTGTTTGTCTACTCCAATAAGAATTTCTTAACATTGAGGATAACTCAACTAACATGCAATTAATGATTGAAAAGTCACTCAGATCACCTTAATGGATAAATCAGACAAACTCAGACGTATCCCACCTTATAACATAGGGTAAGACTACAATGTAATCCAAAGTAGTTTAAACTTTATACGAGGGCTAAACATTGAGGACAACTCAAAACTTAATCTTGTAATTGGTGATCCAAATCACCTTAATGGATATATATCTGACAAACTCAGACCTACAAAATCTCAACGATGGCTCATATCAGCCCATGGCATACCTATGAATAATAAAAAGAATATTCTACATTGTTCTCTGTAAAATCTCAAAGACTAATGGCCCCTATTGATAAGTTGATGGATGATATGAGACCCAGAGGCTAGAATTAGAGATGAAGTCAACCGTTTAAAACGAGTAATCAATGAACTTCATACCTCGGGCAATGCCGTTTTAATGTGTTTTTTTTATAAAACTCAGAAAATTAATACCTGTAGTGAAACCTCAAATGATTTTTGGAAATGGCAGCCTATAAGCCAATTGTCATTAGACAGTGTAATATGCTTTTAAGTATTCACTTATGAAATATCAACAAAATCGCATCACTACTTTAAAGCAAAATGTAAAATAACACTCACAATGAAACCTATAAAGTGGGACACCTCTGCTTGTAGAATTTTTCAGAGTCTTAAGACCAAATGTTAAATGATCCTGTATAAGTGAAACACCTCCCAATAATAATACTTTATAGAGGTACCAAAAGTGTTCCATATTGACAGGTTTTACTGGATAAAAAGGGGACCATTTTTAATGGCTGCCTATTAGCCTATTATTCCAAGTATATTAGCCAAGTATACACATACAAAATTTCAACAACAAAAAAACGTAAAATAACACACATAAACTACTTACTAGAGCAGTACATGTCATTTCGGGTGACCACCTCTACTTGATAATTGATAAGTGATCTCTTTATATATTGAAATGAAGGGAACATGACATTAAAAACTGTAGGACTTGCAGTAACAATACACAAAACAAGCAAAACCCCATCATATAATGCGAGTTCTATCTATTTGACAGCCTTGCTTACTTTAAATTTTAATTTCCAATTTCATGCCATTCTTAAAAGATATTGATTCACCCATAGCCATATTTTTAACACATCCGTAATATAACTGCAATAGGGGAGGTTATACACCATGTTTCCACAGAAGGGCTGGCATATGACCAGGTTCGACCAATAAATTCGAACAGAGGCAATAAAAGCCACATGCATGTCAAGATAATTTATTTATAACTACAAAATATACTTTATTATAAAGCTTATGATCATCTAATAACAGGGAGTGTTGTTATTAATTTATTTAGTTAAGGCCTTTCATTATACAAATGTAGTCAGGAGTAGAAAATAACAAAAATTATAGATCCATGACTTTAAGATTAAAACCCATCACTCAACTCTTTCTTTAGGTGGTTTCCGATGTTATTTATAACCTTGACAACTGCCATAAAGATGTATTTGTAACACATCATGTTATGGAATTACCATTGAGGATTAAAAAACGTTTGTTCATTCTCTTTAGGCAAATTAACCTCTTGAGTTCCAAGAATGACATAAATATTAATATTTCTGATATAAACAAAGTTCATTTCAGTTTCATAACAACATTGCTCTTCCAATTTTCATCCAATTTCAGATTTACTTTATGTAAGCAAAATAAGACCAGTGTTGAGTAAACACCTATGGAGCCACAACAATGTGTTCACTTCAGGGAGGCAACAGTGGCAACTACAAGAATCAGTGAAGTATGTGCTGAGAAGGGGTGTTCACTAGACACCGGTGTTCACTAGAGAGAGAGGTGTTCACTAAGACAGTTTTAAGTAGTTGATCAATGTCTCAAGAAAGGTACTCTCCCTTCAGACTATTTTTTAAATCCTGGTCAACCATTCTAACATCAGAGTTTAAACAAAACTAAAATTCTGAACACCATTGAAAATGTTTGTT